GGGAGGCTTACCTCCACACTCCTAGCTGAGCCTTCAAATACTGTACGCATGTTTGGCACAGAATTGGCACTACTAGTTGCTACATATTTATGTTAATTTGGGAACTACATAGGGGGTTGTTACGTTGTTTTAAAAATAGTTTTTGGTCTTGTTTTATTAAAGTGAAGCATATGCATCAAAAGTGTGTGATGAGGTTCAGTAACCTGATCTGGGCAGTAATATTTATGCAATGACATTCTAAGATACTTGGCTCTCATTGTAACAGTAGGTTGAGAGCCTGATTTAAGTTCAGCAAGAATTAAGTCTCAAGAACAAAATTTGTGTTGCAAAATACTAATACTGAATTTCACAGAAATTATATCATGAAATTAAATTTATATTTTCCCCTCCTTCCATTTAACATTTGGAAAATACAGAATAATTTGGCTGGAGAAAATTTGAAAGCATATTGACAGCTTCTCCAGTAATGCCTGAAATTCTGCTCCAGATGCCTACATGCTGGGTTAAACCAAGAGAATATATAAAAATACTGAGAAATCTGATTAAAAACCTGATAAACAATGGTTATCTGAAATTAAAAGAAGCAATTTGTTTCACTGGTTAAACTTAAAATATCTCTAATACACTAAACACTTGATTTAGAAGGCATTATTATTATTATTATTATTATTATTATTATTATTGGAATCCTTAACAGGGTTCTGCAGTAATAAAGCCTGGAAAGGGAAACAATTGAGATTCAATTTAGACAAAAACGTCTCTGCCCAGTTCAGTTGTGCAATGGAGGGATAGTACTAATTTTTTTAAAAGGAATTTGTCCCAGAAGTACTGGCGACCCTGTTGAAGAGTTTCAGAAGATCCCTGAGCACATTAGTTTCAGACTTTTAAACCCCAGCTTTTAAAATGATAGGGCATTTACATTATTGATAACAAGATGGATTGTCGTTCACAGTTAAGTCAATCATAAGGTGCTTATATACCCTTTTTCCTTCCCCAATTCGCACAAAGAACTGTGAGAAATTTTTGTTGTGAATGGCAGGGCATGATTGATTATATGATCAATGTTTTTTGGCAGTGGTGTTAGGATTATTATCTGGCTGCCCCTTGACACAAGTGATTCAATCGACATTCCGTTGCAAAATTAAAAAAAAAAGGCGAAAAGAAGAGAAAAGAAAACCTGTACAACAAATATGTATTTTTTTTCCCTGAGGGATCAAGGTTAAAACCCGCAAGTGCTCTATGTACATATTGCACTATAGAGGAATGAAGTACATGTGCAAAAAAGCAACAATGACCAAAGCTTACTAATAAATCTTCTTTAAAAATTATTATGCTATGTCCTCACGCATTATGGAATGTCGGTAACATAAATAGCTTTCCGGTCATCTAAAACTTAAAAAAAAAAAGAACAAAATCCCACAACCCACATCTCTACTATGGCACATTCAATGAAATAAAAAGTTTTCAAACGACAAGTAGACAAATCCCATCAACAAAAATAATACAAAGTTGGTTCGTTTGTTTTTTCTTTTTCTTTTTTAGAAAAATTACATTGCTTTCTTTCATTGTTTCACATTACAAAATCTTTTTGTTTGTTTATCTTTACACAAATCACATTTTATTGCAGGAATATTTCAAGTGCCATCAAATATTTATAGAAGGGTTAAAAAAATAGAAGTCTCTCTAAGTGGTCCAGACAAGGCTTTATATAGAATTTTTTCCACCTTCTATTTTTGAATTAAATATCTTCAACACATTTTCTTTATTCCATGGACACTTAATGGCCTAGAAGCAACCACACACATATAACCCATACATACAAGGGTATGCACATTCACACCTTTGTGTTGAAATAATGTTGATGATATAAAGGCTCTGTAAAAGAACAACCAAACTTAAAACAGTATCTCACATCATATAAGTTTTTTTAAAAATGAGCATGCTAGAGACACAAAAGTACATCACCATCATTTAGAATCACATGTCTTTTTAAAGAAGCTTAAAAGAGTCCATCAGTGCCATATGTCCAGCAAAATGAGATGGAAGATGAAACCCAACTAACAGTTCATGAGAGTTACTCTAATAGTTGTGGCCATATGGAATCATTATATAGCAGGGCATTAAAAAACCATTTAGTGTCAGCAAACTTCATGTATCTGAACTGAATCTACAGTCTTCAGAATTTCCAGTGAATATACTACTACACCTGTCTTAAGAATTAGGTCTTATTTTCAGATGTTGGAACTTGTCCGTTAAATCTTACCCTTGATCTGATGCTGAGAACTACATGGTGCTATCTATATCTATTTACGATTTGCTAATAACTGAGATGAAGAAACCATGTTTATGCATCAGTGACTGGATTTCAAAAGAGCTAACAGTTTCTCTTACTTTTTATGTAAGATAACGTCTCTAACTCTCAGACTTAAAAGTGTCTGACCTTAATGATGGGACTCAATCTGGCTCCCACGCTTATGGCGATGATTGGTGCAGCACTGCATGCACAAATTTATTATTTGAATATATTTTGTGTGAGCATATGGCCACCAAATGTTGAATAAAAATAATAGAGGACATGACTTTGAATTATGCCAAAACTTAACCACTCTATTTCCTGTCACAGGCAAGTAGTATTTGTTCTTCTCTTGAATCAGTTTTATACTTTTTGTCTCTAGAAGATGGCAGACTTTAAATCGGCAGTGGCTTGCAGATACTGCAGTTTTAGTTTAGTTGAACTTTAACTAGATTAGCAATTGAGGCTGGTCACATTCTGAAAACTCTTGTTCGTTAAACGGTCCATTTTTAAGCACAGACTATATCCACAGAAGAGAATGAAACTGACACACACTATTAGTTACTCCAGTAAAATAAACAAAATACCAGGGGTGGAGAAACACTGCCCATAAATATTGTCCATACCTTTAGTAGGATTTTTAGTCTTTAAGATAGATCCCAGATTCTCTTGCCAGGATACTGTGGCAAGAGAGTGGATTCTGAGCCCTCTTTAAAATTTTATTCACAGAAGACAATGCAAACTCATTAGGCTCATGGCTTTTCTATGCTTGGCCTTCTCTATGAAGAAATATGTTCACTATAGTATATTTTGTTACTATAGAGAAAAGGGGGGGGGGATTTGTTGTTTAGTCATTAAGTTGTGTCCATTTTGTTACTATAGAGAAAGGGGGGGGGGGATTTGTTGTTGTTTAGTCATTAAGTTGTGTCCGACTTTTCGTGACCCCATGGACCAGAGCACGCCAGGCCCCCCTGTCTTCCAATGCCTCCCAGAGTTTGGTCAAATTCATAGTTGAAGCTTCAATGACACTGTCCAACCATCTCATCCTCTGACATCCCCTTCTCCTCTTGCCTTCACGCTTTACCACCATCAGGGTCTTTTCCAGGAGAAATAATAGATTTAGCATGTTCTGTGCTTGTAGAACAATATAGTAGGTAAGTCCTCACAGAGGATCGGGGGTTGCTAGAAAGAAACTATGGCAAGATTATATTGTTTCAGTCTTCCATTTCCTTATCTTCCAATAGTGGCTGGTAGTCATTGACTTCTTCAGGAGCATGCAGGACTGCAAGCTCACAGAGGGAAGATACTCACATGAAGTCCAGTCTCTTACACAGAGGCTATTCATGCATATCAACAGTATGATAGTATGAGCTCCTTGAAATTACACCAGACTCTGGTCAACTCTGCCATAGAAAAAGGGGATGAGAGGGACACTTTTCGGCCACAGCCTCCTTTGAACTGGCTTTAGAGCAGTGGTTCCTGACCTTGGGTAAATCAGGTGTTCTTGGACTGCAATTCCCAGATAGAAGCCTTCAGCTGTTCTGGTTGAGGCATCTGCGAGCTACAGTCCAAGAACACCTGGTTTACCCAAGGCTGGAAACCACTGCTTTAGGAGAACAAGACTATGGGGCTGAAAATTGAGACATAGCTGATATGCAGCTTGCTTAAGAGCAATTCAATCTTACATTGTATATGTGAATTACTACACATAGACTCTAATTAGTAAAACAAATTTTGTTTCTCTTTGAGGGGGTCACACAAAGCAAAGATGATTTGACTATAATCATACGCAATATATGATGAAAAGTATTTTTCTGAATTTTAGTTTATAAGCAAGGTAAAGCCATGTCTAGACAGCTTGATAGTTCGGCTTTGATGAAAATTCATAAATACCTAGGCAAGAAGAAATTTGCATCCATATGTATGCTTTAAATAAAAACCATTAGGATGCTGAAGTTTGCTGTAAAAACTACTTTAAAAAGAGTCATGTGAATAACTTAGGTAAAGCTTGAAAAGCTAGCTTACATGACTAGTTACCATGAGATGAACCTTTTAATCACTTCAGTCTTTGATGCATTTCCATCAAAGAGGTAGCTGGAGCCGGAGCTGAAAGTGTTTTTCAGAATAATTAAGGGTTCTTCACTTGTCAACAAATTAAAATAAATCATCTTTAACTTCCAGTGTATTCAGCTTTGGGATTAACTGCAAACGTGCAATGATCCAAGACCATGATACTCAGTAATATATTTAGATAAAACTAGACCTGGGTTATTCTATGATCTGTATTCAAAAAAGCTACTTTTTAAAGTTCCGAATGAGCCATGTTGGAGTTTCTTATTACACAGGAGTGAATAAAAGAACCCTATTCAGAAGTACATCCTATTCAGTTCAATAGGAATTCCTCCCAGGTAAGGACATGCAGGACTGCATTCTTAGTAAGGAAATTCAGGCATTCTGTATAGCATAGAAACATTTCATAATGCACTGAATGCTTTTGGAACAATGGTTCTGACACGTTTAGGTTTGTACGGAATTGCTTGGAAGCTCCAAGAGATGGCTGAAGTGCTCCAAGGCAGGGAGAAAAGCTCTCTTTCCAGTTTAATGTAAAATCACTGAGAGATTTCAGTGGAAAGCTATTCATGTGAAATGGTGTCCATGTTATGGGCTTACTCTAAGTATGTCGACCTTTTTTCTCTCTCTCTGCTAGTGTGGTTACAATGAACCTAAAGCACAAGGTGTGTCTTCTTGATGCCAATCATACTGCTAGTTTAATGTGAAGTGAACCTGTCTTATTCCATGGGAAGTAGGGTAAGAATGATATCTTCAAGAGGAGAATTTAACATTTTCAGGCCATTCAAAAAACATTTTTTAAAAAAAGGATGAATTTATCATTTGAATATAATTTATCATTTGAATGTAATTTTGAATATATTTTTTTAATAATTTTCATTACCCCTTATTTGCATAACTAATATTTTTGATAGCTTTTTGGGTATAAATTTAGGCACAGTAATCAGCTGAAAATGCACCATGCAGGTGAAGTCAAGCTTTTAAGATTTTTCCAGTACTGTGTTACTTCAGATAACTATAATTTCAAACAGAGTAGAAAACTGATGGTTGCTGTTGGTTTGCCGGAGCAGTTTATGTGGGCAGGTTCTATAGAGTAGAAATCTGCTTTAATTACATTGTTTACTTTATGGAGTAACTAGATACCCATAAGACCACTCTTTACTACAAAAAAGAAAACAGCTGTGCCACTGTCCATAAAACAGTTATTCCATCTCAAATATGAAAGCGATTTAACTATGCACTGGAGTTATGTCACTGGGCCTAGCCTACCAGGAAGTATTGTGAGGCTTTGTGTACCTCTCTTCATTTCAGTGAGAACAGCACAAGATGTGCTGTATCCTGTCTTAACATATGACTACTGGCATGGCCAGGTGCATACGCATACACACGCTAAATGTAGACAAAAGTATCAGGACCAGAACTTCTAAAACACAGGTGTTCAGATTTGGTTGACTAAATCCACTTTTATTCACCTAAAATGAGCTGACTTTAAAGGTGATACTGAAAATCAACCCTATTTGTTAAGTGATTAAACAGATTTCCTTCTCCTTATGGCTAACATTCTGTTGCTTAGTGCAGTAAGTCAAAACTAGAGTAGGCCCATTGAATCTTTGGAACTTGCAGACAAATTGACCCACCAAATCCCTAATTCACCAAGCCTAATCTAGTTGTCACTTTACAGAGTTAAGCAACAGGATTTCAGCCTATGTCAGCAATCAGGTTTATTTATTTATTTATTTATTTATTTGAACATTTTTACCAACACAATATAATTGCCTTTTCAAAACACAAGCTAAAACTGACAGTTTAGACTCTTCTCTTCCCCTCCTCCCTCCTTCCCTGCCCCACTACACAAAATATCTGAAGGTATTTCATGATATGACCAGCCTCTCTTTAAAAATAAACGTGGAAAACAGCAGCATAAACACCTTGCAGTGTCCCTATACCTTCCAACTTGAATTTCTGGTGCACATGCAGCACAACAATGAACACGCTAGCATATAATTTAAAAGAAAAAAGGTGCAAAATGAAAGTGCCTTATCAATTCAACAATAAAAGCTATACCAGTAACTACATTTTATATTAATTAAAACAATATATAAACAATATCTCTTTTGCTATATATAGACTTCATGCCCGTTTACCCTGTAATAGATTATTATGCTATTGTTGCTATTGCTATGGACCCTTTTCATGCCATTTCGCCTACTGGCAATCAATGGTAGGGTGAAAAGAAATTGTCCTTCATGAAACAATGAGCAAGTTGTGCAAAACTGATGCTGAAGCCTCTGCAATGCACACCAGTCGCTGGTTTCTAACTCGAGTGTCTGTTTTTACTAACAAAACATTGTTCTATGAAAGTCTGTGGGCAGTGAGTTTACAAGGGAAAGGAAACCTCCTGATTTCTAGTACCCTCATTCTGTGTAAACAGAGGTCAAAGACTGAGAAGTCAAGACAGAAAAAGGGTCCGTATTGGTAGGCATCGTGGAAAACATATGTGTGAGAACAAGTTCAACTCTTGTTTCATTTTTCCCATCCTTTTTGCCTGACCCCAGTCACTAGAAGATGTGCAGTATGTTGGCTCCCTAAGTCTGTGCAGGGCCATATAAAGTGTCTCGGTTTTCTTTTGTTTGTTTGTTTTTCCTTTTTTTTCTGCTTTAATGTTTGCACTTCAGACATTCTAGAAGGGCTCATGTGATACCTTTACCCATCCATTTGCATTGCTGGCTCAAATTCTGAAGTGAATAACTCCTTGTACAATGGAGGAAAATGAAGTCGTACAATGTCTGGGTATATTGCTCTAAATGCCATAAGCTTCTCTGTATGTCGCCCACAGAGTGCTCTTAAAGTAGACACTTTGCATATTAGCTGTAGGGAAAGAAATCCAAAATGAATTAAATGTACAACTGTTTAAGAAGGAACATTATTTATCTTATGTTTTTGAGGTAGAGATCTTAAAGCTTTCTATATTCATTCAGTTGTAATAAACAGGCTATAGATTGCTTATCCAATTTAGCCTTTAATACCATCTATCAATAAAATTTCATTCTTCACTGACTTAGATAAGACAAGGTGGCAGACAAGGTGTGGCAGTCTGCATATAACTAATTATACAACTTACATTCCATATGGCTCTTTATTATGGATTAGTTTGGAGCCTATAAAACTAGAGAAGGAGCACTTACATGACCCATTTTAAACTCTTTCATTGACACCAATGTCAAATAACACTATGGCTCAAACCACATAACATATAGTATTCAACATATGAATGAGGTTGAGTTGAGTATCATATACATTGGTGACATGTCAGACCTTATCCCCAGAAGACTCTCCCAGAAAGTTTTATGCAGATGTAGGAAAGAACAGGGGATAGGGAACCCTCTTGAACTCCACAGCTTGATTGCTATGAGACTGTGAGGTAAACACCCTCCTTTTTTCTGGAGGCTTCAGGAAAATCCATCAGAGCCTGCTCTGTTTGCTGCTCAGGAAAGGCTGTTTGAAAGGTCCACCACCATTAATAAAAGAAATGGGTTGCTGAAAATCTAAGCCTCAACAGGATATCATGTGAGCATAAGTAGCAGCATAAATCCTCTGTTATTCATATTGCCATTCTCCTGCTGACTGAGAAAGCCACATTCAGAGTTTGTTCTGTCATGTGAAGGAATATAAATAGAATTATAGAGTTCTAGTCCTCAAATTCATATTAATATTTGTATGATCTTTTCTTTCAGTCTTAATAAAAATGGTTAAGATTGGCTAGATAACTTTCTATACTTTTATAACAAAACAATTCTTAATCATAGCTGCTGATTCTATTACATGCTATGCTGTTAGGTTCACTTAGTAAAACTAAGTCTCACAGTCAATCAGTAATGGCCAGTTCTGTAACCTGTTACCTTTGTTAAGATTCCATCTTCTCGGTGGTTCTTCTGCAATACATGCTGAAGTGCTAACTGAATCTTCTGTTGGAGCTTTTCTATTTTTACCTTTTCCTGAAGCCATGATCGATCTAAAATGGACAGAGTAAAATATCTCTTACTGCATTTTCAGTCTGTAGTGTACATCAGTATACCCTATAGCTAGTGTCAGATTAAAGTTTTGATCATTGAGTCTATAAATCAGGAGGACTTGATGACACAGTGGTTTGTGTTTTAGCACTCTAATGCCAAATATGTGCATTGGCAAGTTCATATTATTCAAGTAGAGATCACATTATGTGTGTTCATCATTCAGTAACTGCTCTGGCAATCAGTTACCACAGATCACACAATTTAGTTTGTGTCCATTGCTAAAATTTCAAATAGGTTACTTGTTGATGGGATGGACAAAAATATTTATATGCTTTTCAGACATGTTTAATCATAATTGTCTTTCTTCAGGAAAATTATAATAATGACATTTTTCAATTGAACTGTCCTCAGTCTTTATTCTCTTGTGCTTTCAGTAGACATTTTAGATACCAGACTTGACTAGTGACTTTATGCATGTGTGCGTTTGACTTTAAAGTCATGTTTTCAGATATTGTTCAGAAATAGTAGCTACATGTTTATCTTTTGTTGCAGCAAGTTCTGTAGTTGTTTTATTTGACACTAGAATTTTTTACAGTACCCTTTGTTATAGGAGTAATCATTTTTTCCTACTTTAGAATGAAGTACTTCCAGAGGGGATGGGGAAAGAAGACTTGCTTAGAAGCAAGGAACAGTCAGTGAAGCAGAAAAAGAACATGCCCCAAACACAGACATACCTCCTCTGAAGTTGCTTTCTTTTAACATGAAAGTCACTTTTAATGTTACGGGAATTACATTAAATTAATAGATGCAAAGGTATCAGTAACAGACCCAATAGTTGAGGCAATTATACTTCCATCTTGTACATTCCAACAGCTATTGGTTTTGTAGATAAAGAACAGGAGGTCTAATAGACTGACAGTATATAAATAACATTTGATACTTGTGGAATATCAAGTCGTTATTACGGAAATACATACAATCACGTTAAACCTTTTCATACAAGGCTAGGGAAAGGCTTTCCGTTTTTTATACCTTACCTGCAGACAATAAAACAAATGCTGAAAATAATGCGATCTCATCTTCAGTAAGGTGCATAGAACATAAACTCTTTCCAAATTCAAAAACAAAACTAATGAAATCTTCACAACCTGCCAAAAAGAAAAGTAGCATCACATAGTCTCCTCCAGAATGACAGAACAAGATTTTATTTTCAAACAAGATAGAGAATAAATTCACCTTCTCTTCATGTTACAATGTTTGTCTTATTCTGATGACAGTACAATTGCCTGCTTCCATACAGTTCTGTGGCATTTGGTGTCTATAGTCAAGAGTTTAAAGTAAACAGCTACAAATTATAATTATAATTATATTATAATTAGTTCCTTTCCCCAGTATTTAAGATGTAACTACATTGTGACTGAAATTTAATGAAGGATAACTATTCCTTTTTTGCAGTATAATTATAGTATAATTTACAGTATAGTAATTATAAAATTCTAGTTATAGTTAGGGTTATAATTGGAGTGGTTATGTCACTAAATGGTAAAGCAAAATAAATCCTTTAGGAGCTGGTAATTGCTGTTCCTTATACTTTGTTGTGAGTGTTGAGGTGACAAGAATGTGCTTTGCACTACAGACAAACAGCTTTCGCTGTTCAAATATTGTTAAAGTAACTGTTTTGGTTTTGTTGAGGTGACAAGAATGTGCTTTGCACTACAGACAAACAGCTTTCGCTGTTCAAATATTGTTAAAGTAACTCATTTGTTTACTCTTGATATAAATATGAATATAAATAGTTACTTTTGAAAAACGAACTCCTACATTCACTATCTACTGGGGAATTTGGAATTATCATACTAAGTACTTTTTTAAAGTAGCATTCCAAGATTTGTTAGTATTTCTAGTGCCTAATGAGCACACAGTGGAAACAGTAGTATGGAATGACATGTAGCATTCAATGGGGTAGTGCATCAAGTCTACCTACATCACCAGATGCAGACCAATTTCAGTAGTCCCACAATCCTTACCCAAGAATACTGAGAAAAATAGGTATCAAGTTATCTATCCACACTTGGTTATCTGCATGTACATATATGCATTAGGTAGGCCCTGGGTGAACATGATAATATTGCTCCACTCTGTGTAAAATAGAGGCACTTTAATGTGGATATGAACAGGGCTTAAGCATTACATTCTTAGCAGCATGAAAATTAGCCAACTTTTCCATGGTGGCTAGTGAGCTGTTCTATTCATACTTCCACACCAGTGGGTGGTCAGATGGCTATGATTTTATTTTGCTTACTTTGTATTATATAAATTGCATAGGCTGTTCTCCTTTATTCTTCCTGACAATTCACACAGTAACCGGTGTGTCATAAACTGGAACCAGTTTCAATTTAAGATGTGTTGTGCCCTGATCCTATGGATTTTCTGACATTTATTTTTAAAAAATGCCCTTTCTCTGTACAGTCTCATTAGAGAATGGTAATGCAAGAAGCATCTTTGGTTTCCTTTTCGATGTCCTACAGTTCTAAGCATATCAAGTGTCAGTGAATCTCACATTGATTCCAGATAATAAATCCCGACAATTTTTTTCTGCAGTACTGTCAATATTCACTTGCTGTTATCTTCAAATACATTTAAACTCATTATATAAATTCCGAGTGCATCTCAGCACACACAGTAGGAGAAATAATTAGATCAGAAAAATACTAGAGCTTTTCTTCTGGAATTTTTAAAATATGAAAATATGGCATGGTAACCATAGGCAAGTGATGCCTTTGGAATAGAAAACCTATTACAAAGGACCCTGCTTTTCACTCAACAATGATAATTTTCTATTTAGAATACGGTGTATGCTTTTGATATATTTGCCACTAGTTACCGTATTTTTCGCTCCATAAGACACACCTTTCCATAAGACGCACCAATTTTTTAGGAGAAGAAAACAGGAAAATATTTCTTCGCTCCATAAGACACACAGACTTTCCACCCCCCTGTTTTGTGGGGGGAAAGTGCGTCTTATGGTGAGAAAAATACGGTGCATCTTTGGAGGGCAAGAATATAGGAAACATTTCTCCATTTATCATCTTGTAATTTCAGTGCTTACATTTGAGTAGCTATGTCTTCCAGAATGGATTCTGTATTCCCGTATTAGAAATCCAAAGTTTTAACTAAGTAATTAATATGCCTCATATCTGAAGGATAAAATTGTCTAGTTTGAGTCTAGCTAGCACTAGTTTTGGAAAGACTGAAATTACAGGATGAACATAAGGAAGAAAAAGAAAAGAAGAAAAGCCTATTGTGTGTAACATTCTGTTCACACACTGGACAACCAGTTGCCCATGAGAAGCACACCAGCAGGATATGAGTGCAACTCCACTGTGTCTCACATTTTCCAACAAGTGAAATGCAGAAGCACCCTGATACTGGCTGGTGAAATTAGCCATTGAGAATAGTAGCACCAATGGCTGTAACCTCCATGAATTTATCTAATATCTTTGAAAGCATGACTACATCTTGTCACATTGAATTCTACAATTTTGACCATGTACTGTGAGAGGTACTTGCTTTTATCTGGCCTTTTATTATTAACACACATGGAGACATAACTTAAGTAATTCAAATTTGAATCAAATAATTAGCCCAGTATATTTCATGAAAAAAAAAAACTCATTGGGTGATTTGCGTACAATCCATTTATTGTAGGAAATTAATTTTATGAATATGTTTTCTAATTAAGTACTTCATTTCCTTACCTAATGACTTGAATACCTCAGGGCTAGCATATTTGCCATCAAAGTATACTGTGTTGTTCTGGGAGTCAAAGGCACGGCACATTCTGATAAATACAACCTCTAAAGACCCTAGATATAAATGAGAAGAAACTTTAAAACTGAGAATAAGAAATGCTGTGGTGCATTTGTACTCATACGTTTCTCATTTTTCTGAAACAGGTAATCAATTTTAAATCTATTTCAAAAGTGTCTCTATCTTATGAAGAAAATCTGGTGGCAGGGAGGAATGTGTGGCTCAGAAGACATAACTGAGGGCAACTCAGATATGTACACCTTGCATTATTCCATTCTAGCAAAAGACTCTTCTTTTGCAAATACTTTGGAACTATAGGCACCAGAATAAAGAAATCAAACCATGACTCCCAGATGGAGGTTTCGTGATCTTTCAAAAGCTCTTAATCAAAGACAGTTTGGGAGTTTGATTCCCCGCTGCGCCTTCTTGGGAGTGGTTGGACTCAATGATCCATAGTGTCCCTTTCCAGTTCTGCAGTTCTAAGCTTCTGATGTGGATTATTATTTGAGTGGTTACAAAACACCCTCTTCAAAATTGTTATATAAATATACCGTATTTTTCGCTCTATAAGACGCACCTTTCCATAAGACGCACCGATTTTTTAGGAGAAGAAAACAGGAAAATATAATCTGTTTTCTTCGCTCCATAAGATGCACAGACTTTCCACCCCCCTGTTTTGTGGGAAAAAAGTGAGTCTTATGGTGCAAAAAATAATATAAATAGAGTCCAATTATCACTTTGATTTTAAGGACAACTGAAACAGTTTGTTAGCTGAGCTGGATGACAGATAAAAGACAGTATATCTGTAGTTAAATTGAACAGTGCCAGTACTGCAGTACTGACATAATGGCTCTGAAACACAGCTCTTTTGAGATTCAAGGAGATATACTTTCACCATTTCCATTTGGCTACCAAATACTTTACTACCAAGACAATTATTTTAGTTGTGTATCGCAAGAATATTTGTCTCGTCTTTTTACCAAAGACTGTTTCAATGCCACTATTTGAACAAAATGCCAACATGTGTTCAAAATAATGTGTCATTTCATCAAAATTAATTCTGAAATTAATTTCAGAGATGAAGTAAATATGCATTTGTATAGGGATCCAAATTAATGTAATAGACAATTGTGCTAGGTTCTTTTAGAGCAATCTGTTGTGGTTATCTTATAATGTAACAGGATTGAGGATTTCACAAATTGAGGTTATCAGGATTTCTGTTTTTGATCTGTCATTATATGCAAAGGCCTCAATCTTGTGGTTTTGACACTGGGTATTATGGTTTTAGCAGCAAAATAGAATATACTAATACAGCAGTCCATATACCCATTCATGAAAATAATTTAGTACATGGAGTCAAAGAGCAGGATATGAAGTTTTCAAAGCACAGAATTCCAATAAATTTCTGCAGTTAAAAATGGCACTAATTGTCATATCTAGGATTTGTACCGTATCATGCAATCTGAACAGGTCAGTGAGGAAATCTCCTGCAGCACTTCCATACCTGCTTTTAAAAGCACAATTTGATCATTTTGACACAGTTCCATAAAGCCGTCAATGCGCTTGGCAAACTCCACAACGTACTGTATTGCTTCTGTTATTTTCACTGCACATAACTGCCACATTACTTCCCTCTGCTGTTAAAGAAAAAGAGTTTAGCTAGCTATTCCAGGATCACGAAATGTTTCTGAAGGAAGATGTTAAAAGCAAATGGAGCTCCTTATCAATTAATCTGTACAACTGATGGCCAACTGGATATTTTTCCAGTCAGTGCATTACAGTCATAGAAAAAGAGCCCAGGTCTTCATTCCCTGCTGCATTTCCGTTTCTGTTTAGTTTGCACAGTTTTGTTCACAAATACTGTAAGAATATATGAGGCTAACTGCAGGATTTTGGGTTTTTGCTTCCCTTAGAAAATATAATACAAATACTGTACCATTGAACGTTAAGGAAGAGTTCTCGAGTTAAATGCAATCATTCTAACCAATTCTACTCTGAAAAAGCACAAGCCCAGAAAATTGGACTTTCATCATCAGACTCTGAATTTGAGCAGCCAGTTAGAGCTCCTATTTCCATCCAGTGATAATTCTTTTGTAAGTACAATGAAGAGGCAAAATATGAACTCTCCGCTTGCTCTCAGTCACATGATGTGAAAGAAGAATCCCCAAATATAATAGCTTTTACATTTATTACAGCTTAGGCAGGCAGAGGGAGCCAAAACTATTACTAAAATTGGCCATTCTTTGTACAGTGTACTTGTACTCTCGTTAAAAACAGTTCATTTATATATTACCCAAGAGTTCTGTAAATGAACAGTTCTGTTCTAGTGAACAGAAACTTTTGTTATGGCTCTCATTTTTGGAGAAAAAAATCTTGGCCTTTAGGTGAGCAGTCAACATGTAGCTTATGTTTGTTATTACTGTATATTGTAACTTGAAACTTTCAAAATGGTTATATACTGTACTACCTTGTGAGGTAAGATGTTGAAAGGAAAGGGTGCACATTTTATACACATTAAAAAAATTAAATTAAACTTAAAAATGATTAAAATAAAATATTCATTTGGCATGATATAGACAGATACTATTATACAAATGTTCTAAAGCACTTGTAGATAAAAGCCTGTACAAATGGCAAAATTAAAGGCAGATTCCAACCAGGAGGATAAAGAACTTATGAAAATGGTTCTGTTAGGAGCCTGTAACTGAGATTAAACCACAGAAGCATTTGGGACGTTTTTAATGTGTTGGTGTATGTTACTGGAAGGATACAGTCAGAATGCCCAAAGTAGTGTCTTGAACACATAAACTATGAGATTGAGGAGCTTCTGTTTCCCCCCCATTTCAATACTCTCCTTTATCACCCTGTTGCTTCTTCCATTGTCCTTATAATTATCAAATCTCATATGAGAAAGACAGGCACAAAGGGAGCAGTTGCACAGTTCTTTTTGATCAGTAGTGCTTAGAGCTGTCTGTCTAGAAACACCCTAAACAGCAGCTCCAAACGAGTACATGCAAATATGGAATGCTACGTGCAGCATTTAGCATATTATCCAAGCTAATACCTTGCTCTGGTAGTTCTCAATTTCTTCTTGTAAAAATGTTTGCCATGTTATCTGTTGTAGCTCTTCTCTCAAATATTGGCAGGTTTCCATGTGTGATTTAGAAATGTTCTGTGCAAGATGTTCTAAAACAGACAGTGAGCAAGAAGTGTTGTACATTAAAAAGGATCACCCATAGGTATGTTTGCACATGTTTTGTCTAGTTAGCCATTAAATTATGAATGTTTTCAACAGCTGATTTGTATGAAATCATAATGGGACTCTAACATGCATTTCTATTTCTTCTTCCCCCAAATACTAGTCACAGTTCTCAACATCACTGTTGATGAGTGGTGAAAAGGTTTGGATGCACAAATTGCCTTGGCTAAGTTAGTAATATCCCTCTGATTCAGCATATGAGCTTGTAACATTGTTTATTTTGTATGAAATGATTACCCCATACAGCTCAGAGCTGTGTATTTTGACTAACTATGGCTGTCCAAAGTTTCAGATGGAGGGGTCTTTTTCAGCACCTGTACCAAAAATCTTTTCAACTGGAAATACAAAAGGATGAACAGCTCTAGCTAGCTAGACATTCAGTAAGGGTATCCATGGAAGGGAACAGAGACATATGCTGTGCCCAATCTTTCACCCACGGCCATCATGTTTTTATAGGGAGTTTTGAAGGAAAAGCATAACTATCTCCTTTCTCCTAAGACAGTTATAAAACTTCAAGCTATACTTCAAAATGCCTCAAGATTTTATAAACTGGGATTTTAAATATTCCTGAAAAGTTGATTGATATTGTTTTAAAATGATACACAGAGAACATAAATCAAATAATTTCTTTCTCCTTGCTTAATTCTCCACACCCACCTCCAACAGTAATTGAAACAAAGACTGAAACCTTGTTGCTTGGCCTATTAAGTCACACTAAAGTAGACCAGTTGAATCAAATTTGATGAGTCAACTCCTCTTCAAGTTCCATTGATTCAAATAGGTCTACTATAATTGTGACTTACTTTTGTATAGTAAATTGCAACTAAACTAGACCTATTTGAGTTAAGGAGAGGAGTTGACTTGCTAAATTCTTTCATTCAGTAGGCCTACTTTAGTGTGACTTACTAGGCTAAGCAACAAGATTCTAGCCAATATTTCATAGTAGTCTAGAGAAAGGAAACTGATATTGTTATGTTGATCTTAAATGTAGGAATGGGCTGCTAAGCTTTCTGTCCTGCACAAGGGCTTGACAGGTATTTATTTTACATGTGCTATATTGTTTTAGCAACTCACATGATCATCTTTGGTTGTTACTTTTGTTATAAAAAATACTCAACTTGTAGCTCCATTATATAAATGTACTTCTCAACCTGTAGTCATCCTGAATTGACAGTACAGTATAAATCTAGCAAATACAGTTTTGAGTTTTAGCCACATGCAGCTCTGTTTATAAAAGTGAGGTTGGTTAGTTCTAGAAGCCATTAAGGGTGGCAAGAGAGACAGATCTGACCCACCCACTGAAATGCACAGGAATGGTGCAAGAGAACAGAAGTAGGTTATGTCCAGTTTTAGTGGGTGAGGTATATTGCTTTACCATATTAGTCATCCAGAAGTCCTGAGCTGAGCTTGAGCATACTTTCTGCAATTGGTGTTTGGGGCAGCAACACATTTCCAAAAAGAGCAGCTTGCACAGTTACAGCCATACCCAAAACTCAAGTTTCAGTGACCAAATATCAAAAGATGTTGCTTTAATCCAAAGGATAGCAAGTACAGCAAGTACAGTACATGGGAATTGCTTCCCATTTTGATTATTACCTAATTCTGCCATGGACACAGTAGGAGAAGTCTCTCCATTTGTAAAAGAGCAATACGGAAAGAAGCCCGATGCAGGTGTGTAGTCACATATCGGTTCTGGTTTGATTCCATTAATATCAAGCCCCGACTGGTCTGGAGAAGGCTGTATGTCTAAGTAGAAGCTGCTAACTGCAGAGTCTGCTTTGCTACCTTCAGGGGTATGCCCATCAATGTAATTACTGAGATCATCATGCAGTTCCGTTAGCCCGTTGGTAGTGATATTGTATGTAGGTGTCAAGGGCTCTGCCTCTCCAGGTTGCTGCTGGTGATCCCTCTGCTGTTGCTGCATTCGGTGTTTCTGTACTTCTGCATACAAGCTGTCCCTCTGTTTTTTTGACATTCGACCAAACTTTACAGCTGAAATATATTCATAAGCAACATATTTTATCACTACCAGACTAGCCACTTAAATGAGCAGACATTACACTTCTTAAAGCAGTAGAAAGCTATGTGACCATGTGGTTACATTTTAAATATATATTTGGTAGCTATTAATCAGTATACAGGATTACAACAAACATTGACTTCATTGTAGAGGTGAAGTTGTATATTAGGAAGTCAGAAAACAGGAGTTCTGTTGCATTAGCTTAGCAAAATTAGATAATGTTCATGTGGTATATGAACAATATTAAGAAGGTGTTTTACATGGGAACATTTGTGAGAAGGGCCATTTTAATATAAAACTGAACAAAAATACATTTCAATCGCATGTATACAGTGCAAACATATTTAATTTGCAGACATAATCTGAGTTTCTACAGTTGGGTTTTCCTGGTCTGACATGCTGGATTTCTTTAGACCAAGAAAATCTGAGAGAATTCAAACAAACAAACAAACAAACAAACAAACAAACAAACAAACAAACAAACAGGGTCCTCATAAGTCAAATTAAGCCAGAGGATTTTGAATAGATGATACTTTTTAAAGAAGAAAAGCAGCAGCAGGCCTGGTAAGAAAGACAGGCATTTGTTGTGGCAATTTATGTGTTTGTTGATGGGTGGGTATGTGCATGCATGAAAGCAGTAAGAAACCCTAAAAGCCACTATGTGGGGCAGACCAAAAGAAAATTCAGTGACTTAATGGGCACAGTGTATTTCAAGACATATTTATTAAGAATGGGATGAACAAGCAAAAACTAAGGAGTGTTGCACATACAAGACAGCTGACCTGAACCAGTAAAGCTCACCATCTCGAGACATCCCCACAGCAAGGCATTTCTGTAACCGACAGTGTTGGCAACGATTTCTACTCGTTCGATCAATTAAACAGTTCTTCTGACGAGGACATGAGTATGTGGCATTACTTTGCTGACTCCTCCTAAAAAAACCCTGTAGCACAGTGACAGAAAGTGAAAGGAAGAGTCATTAGTGAATAGTCCAAAGCAGCTGTGCCAGGTTTTGCACGAACCTCATACTTTGACAAAAACTTTACTTTCCAGCAAAAAGAAAATGTCCCTTTGAGCACTGACTGGCTGAAATTCTGTCAGTGAAGCTGTGCAGCACAACTTGGATGAAGTCATCATCTAAAGTTGTGCCGCAGGCTGTTTCACGGCAATTTAAAAAACAGGTAAAAATCTAATGAATAGATTTATACAAAATTATACAAATGTATGAGTATGGTTTTATTCTATATTTGTATAAGTTTACATGTTTAATAAAATATTAAAACATTAAGTGTTTACATAAAAAGTAGTGCTGATCATTTACTATTACATTTTATGAGTGAATAAAAACTAGGATATAATCCACTGTCAACATATTACTGTGAGGAAAGTCCTTTCTATGCAGGTAGGCCTTGTGCAACTGATTGGCTGCTTGAAGGAAAGCAGTACCTCCATGGAAGTGATCTGGGGAGCAAAAGGAGGCTCTGAGTTTTGAAAAGAGTGCTTTAAAATTACCTTCAATGAGGGCGGGGGAGTGAAAAAGTGAGAAAAGGAAAGAAGTGACATCCCTTTCTAGCCCCCCCCCGCTCTTTGTCTATTAATAGCAATAATTATGTGCCCTCAAGTCTCTTATCGGTTATGGTGACCTTGCCAAGGTTTTTTAGGTGTAAAGTGCTCAGAAGTGGTTTCCCAGCCCCTCCTTCTGGTGGCAATCTAGGACCACACAGCCTCTTCAAGGTCACATTGGTGGCAGGGCATGGCTGGCTTGGGAGTAAATACCACTGTGGCCGTGATGCTATTTTATTCCTGAAGGCAGAACAAAACCCAGTTTGGATTGGGTCCATCAAATACCTCCCTGTCTGAAAAATTACTCAGATGAGGTTTTCAGTATCAGTGATACTGATTTGCACAAAACTCTCCACCACCATAGAAATCTTTAAAAAAAAAAGTCAGCAGCCACTTGGGCTAATGAAAATTCAAACACTCATATTTTTTCATTTCCAATATTCTATAAAAAGTCAAACATATATTGTCTAATGAATTCTTGCCAAGTGTATCATATGTATTTGCTTGAAGGAATAATTTCTAAACAAGTTTTTAGAAGCTACTTTATGGCCTAAATAGGAATTTTCAAGGCTATTAGTAGTGTCAGTGAACTGATCTGAATAAACAAGTTTGCTTACTTTCCCTCATCAGAAAAGATAAAAAAGAAGGCCATTTATGTTTTGTTTTCTTTTTTGCTTGGGGGAACCTGATACATTTTCCCTCTTCCCTCTCCACGACATGTTGAGCCTGGCATAAAACTAAGCTACTAAACTCATATTTGGTCTTTTGACAATTTTCATTTAATGAATTGATTCCTACAGTTCATTAACGTGCCCACTTCCACTTCTGTATACACATATGTCTTAATTAGCTGCTCATTGGCTGTTTAATTACAAGAAAACAGCTGACAGCTGCCTTGTTGCATCCTAATGGCAGAGACTCTAAAAAGGATACACACCAGCTTGTGACAACAAAGACTTATTCATAATCCTATGATTTATGGCTAACACTTACACATTTCTACGTGTCATTACGTTTTGCAATATTTTAGTAATTGCCAATTAGGAATCAAAAAATTGTGCTTTGCCCCCCTCCCCTATACATTTTCTGAACTCTGAATTTATTTTTAAAACAAATAAAAGTAACAAAGTATCAAAACTTGTGTATTTCCTGAGCAACAGGATTTCAGCTGTTAATTGTTAAAGTTGTGGCAGCCAAGGTAATCTCTCTTTCCCTTGGATTGTCCGGTATGGCAGTGGTCCCCAACCTTGGGCCTCCAGATGTTCTTCAACTACAACTCCCAGTTCTTCAATTACAACTCCACCATCACCTCTGCTGGCCAGGATTTCTGGGAGTTGAAGTCCAAGAACATCTGGAGGCCCAAGGTTGGGGACCACTGCGGTATGGGATCATACAGATATGCTAGAAAATCTCACATTAATTAAATAAAATATTTTCTTTCTTTTAAATTCAGTTTAATCTCACCAGTGAAGTTCCTATGTCCATGCAACCAGTTAGAAATATACTGTTTTGGGATGCAGTACCATTTAAACAAATTATAGTTTAGGGGAACAATAATATGATTTAGTTTAGGGGAGCAATAATATGTCTAGATACCTGGCTACAAAGCCAGAGGTTGGGCTCCCCACTGTACTTCCTGAAAGAAAAGCAAGGCTGTGTGGTCTTGGGCAAACTGCACTGTCCCAGGGCTGCCCCCAGAAGAAGGGAATGGTAAATCCCTTCTGTTTACTCTCTACTTGGAAAACCCTGGAAAGGATCCCTAACTCACCATAAGTCAGAATTGACTTGATGGAACATATTTATTGTTATGGTAGTTCACCAGCTGTACTGATCAACACTGACTGCAGATTCAAGAGTTCATCTTGCACAAAGACAAGCAAGCAAGTCAACACATTTTCTCCTACCAGATAGACTCCCCTGCCAAATACATATATTTATCAACCATACCTTGCAGCCCTCACAGGTAATGACACCATAATGGATTCCTGATGATTTGTCTCCACAGATCTTGCATGGAATAATTTCAATTTGAGCTGCAAGAGAAACACACAGCCAGATAATTATATTTTCTTTTAAACACCTTATACAAAGCATTCCCTGATCAGCATTTGTACAGCAAAAACTAATAACCTGCTCAACATTCTACCATATTAACTATTCATTGCTGAACTGTGAGGGTTCCCCTAGGGCCTTGTACTAATTTATGGTTGCTTGTTACATAATAGCTTTCAGGTTATTAAAATGGGTCATTTGAGAAGGTGCTTAAAAAACCTCACAACATTGTCAGATACAACATTTCAAAGCCAAGAGGGGTTGGACCCCTGAGTTCCAACTGTGGTCAAAGAAATATACCATGTCTTTTAGTATGGTATGTACAGCGGAATCCAAAAGATATCCAAGGTATCTTATACACATACAAATATACCATAAAACAATCTCATAAAAGCTAACAGATCACCAGAAGAGGAAACCCAGGTTAAATTCCAATAAAGCTAGACAATAAAGCACAGCATGTATAGAACTATTATCCACTTTGCCAGGATTCACTGTCACCATGTGTGTGCATCTCTCATTTAACCACAGAATAAAGTAACCACCTTCTCTGCTGAGATAAACCCCCAAAACACGTACACACACACACTCAGAATGAAAAAGGCAGCAAAATTGCTGGATGAGCTGGAAGAAGCAGAGAATGGTCTCAGACCTGAAAAAGCAAAATTTCAAACAGAACAGCCACAAATGGCCTGGATTGGCATTTTACTTTCCTCAATGTGGGCATTTTACTTTCCTCAAAACCATCCCCTGAGTGCTTGTGCTTCCCTTACCCTTCATACAGAATTTGCTGCCATTTTCACTGGCACTGCAAGTCAGTAAGGGGAGAGAAGGAACATTGAGTGGCTTAAACCATAGCTATTGCTTCCTACCTTCCAATGTTTATCTAATATTCTGGGTTGGACCATACATTTCTAACACCATGTGTCTTGGCAGAAATATGAACTGTGCCTTGCTATTGAAATCAGTAGTTGTAGCTTTTGTTCTAGCAGGCGTCTTGTGTTGTCTGATGGATTTTAAACTCTTTGTCTGCAAGGTATGCTGTTTTCCCACCACTTCCTTCAGATAGAGGTAGATCAGGGCATTACCCTACTTATCCTCTTCATTTCTGACATGCAAATAAACACTTGCTGAAATCTTGTTCATATGCAAACTGGACACAGTGAGAAATGTGCTCTCTGTTGGGGGGGGAGGCACAATATAGCTAAATTACACCACCCACCCAAATACAAACACAGCCTGCAAGAGCAGCTCTGCCTAGTCATTAAATTTGTTATCGTACAAACACTAGTATTTTCCAAATCATCCTGAATTATAGTTCCATTCTGCCAAGGCAAAATAAAGACCAATTTTGATACACCCATTTAAATATACATTTATGGAAGCATTGCCACCCATTCTTATCTTCATTATGACATTTCAGAAAATACTCAGAACCTTGAAGACTCATTAAGAATGTGCTCTTTACTATCCATTCCTTGCTCTCCACAGTGTGGAGAAAAGCCACTACGATCTGCTCATCCTCTCACATTTTTAGTCAGAAGAAAAATTTCAGGCTATGTCTAAATTGTAGGAGAAAGCAGGCAATTTCTCTCAGCCTGTCTGGCTGCTTGAAGGAACAGCAGTAGTGTCAATGCCTGATGTTGGAAGGGGGTGGGATCCTCCCTTATCTGGAATACTGTATAGAGCAAAGTGTTTGCTGGGATCTTGTTCTCCAGCTGTGGCAGCCTGTTGCAGCTGTCTGTCCAGATAGCTGCAGGAGATGAAAATAGGTCTTTGATAGGACGTAATACGTGAACCAGATCTTGTAAGGGCTTCCCTCTCCCAGACTAATTCCTGTAAGCAGCTAAGTTATGATAGGTTCAAAGAATCACACAAATACTAAAAGGGCACAGGATGTGGTAATTGGGCACACGGTGTATAGATGTGAAGATGGGGTTGGCTGTTTGTAGGAAACTTCTGGTGAAAAAGCAAAAGCTGGAATGGCGGTTGAATAAGTTTTCCGGCATAGGGTGTCAGTGCCTAGCACAGCTCTTCCCCCCCCTCCGTCTCTCCCTCTCCCTGCCCACCCTTAGGGTAAAATCTGTGCAAAATGAGCAAATCCATTCATAAATTCTTAAGAGCTGTGGAATTTTATCATCTTAGACAGAATTAGGGTTATATTTTTATACCATTATAATTTGTACTTTCAGGCCTCTGGATAGCTGAGTGAGAGAGCTCAGAGAGGCCCATGAGCAGGACACTCAGT